AAGATGTCGCTGAGGGTGTGGGGTTTGGAAGTTTGCTGCATGAGATGTTTAGTGCCTTGCATAAAAATAAGATGGAGCAGGAAACTTTTAATCAGGGCAGTTTGCTGTTAGGAAGGCTTCTGATGTGTGTGTGGCACAATTTGCTATAAAACAGCCTGGGTGTATATTGCAAAAATGTATRTACTTAGATAAATAATCTGCAATAAGGAGCAGCATTAGGATCAAACAGACAGAACTGGGTAAGGTAATGACGCACACTTGGAAGGCATTGAAGAGTCTTCTGTTCTTCCATTGATCCTCCTAGAATTGTTAGATTGCAATAATTACAAAATTATAACAAATAATTATGAAATTATTAGATCTATCTCTTACAACTACAAGCTAGTTCCTTAAATTTTGTTTGTATGCTGGAGTCCAGAGTAGCTTGTCAGCTTTCTACTACTTCTGCTGTGGTAACATGCTTCTCCTGTCAGCTGTAGCAGTAGGTAACACTGTCTTTGAAGCAGATTTCTGGTTTGTTTCTATGTAAGTGTTAAGCTATTCCTACTTTCTTTGCTTGTTTTTATTTTCTTTTTTTTTTTTCCCTTAATGCCAGGAAGTTTTCTCAGGGCTGCAATATATTAATTGAAAAATGACTTTTTCATTGCAGCAATGCCACTTTCAACATACAGCATGTCCATAAGGTTTCCATCAAAAGTATGAATGCATTTTCATCACTTTTAGAGGTGGTTTTGCAAAAAATAAATAAATAAAAAGCTCTCAACYGTAGACCGTGTAGAAGACAGTGTTAATGTCTAATAAGTTGTAATGATTCGTTAGGAAAATGAAATACAGCATCATCTAAGTTGATCTTTAATTATTACATAATTGGTTTACTAATGTGCATATAAATTACACTCTATTGAACATTTTCAGAAGACTGCTTTTATTATATTAACTTTAATTTTTCTTCCAAGCACCCCAGTGGCTTTATTGGGTTGTAGTTGTTAGAGAGGAAAGATTTTATTTAAATCTGTTTATAACCAGAGTTATCTACCAAAACTGAGTTTGGCAAGTGGATGCACAGAAGATTTGGAGGGGGGRCCTGATGGTGGGGCAGGGGCCCAGAAAATGCCTGGGAGAGTCAGTTGTGTCTCGCACAGCCAGAAGGTAGTATAGAGGAGGATGCAGGAGAAGGTTGCAGTTGCCTCTTGCCTTGCTGCTACAGATTGCTGTGGGACAGGCTTTGTTTGTCAGCATTTGGCTCAGGCTGGTAGGGAGGCAAGCACTCTCTGGCAGCAGCAGGTTATCAAGATGTTGGAAATGTATCTTGCAACAATCTCAGACCATTTTCTTGGTGTTGCTGAAGGCAGAACCATAAACTTCTTTTGCTGACTAGCTGGTTTTTGTACTGTGTTGGGTTTTGATTTTGATTTTGTTTATTTTGATAGGTAGAAAGGGAACTCCATATTGTATGCTTTACAATACTGGAATTCACACATGAACTAGAGTATCCCTCCTCAGTCCACCTCACTGAGTTTGGGGGTTTTGTTAAGGACTTTTTCAGGTTAAAACAACTTAGTCAAATACAAAACTTTAAAACCTGTTTTTTGAGAAAGTGGAAGTATCAATATGCAATCACTGAATGGCTGATAGCGGGGAAATGTGTGTGTGTTGGATATTCACTGTTTGCTGTATTTTATTGTAGACTTCTCTGAGAATGATTTCATTTATTTTAAAGCATTCCAGAGGAATAGTTATTTAACCCCTGAGCTAAATATACATGCAAGTCCCCAATTTTAACCAAGAAAAGTACACAAAGGAAAAGTTGTAACTGACAGCAATATTAACAGGTATGACAGCATAGTAATTTGCCATTTGGTACTGCTAAAGTTTTATGAATGCTTTAAAGATAGAACTATTAAAATCTCATAATTTGCTGTATAAACACWTTTTTTTTCTTAAATGCTTCCAAACAAAGCAGAGAACAGCAGAAGTCTTTTCAAAAGCACTGAAGTCTCTCTAAAGCCATCTGGAATATCAACCCTGTGTGATGACATGCTGCTTAGTCATTTTTTTCCGCAGAGATGCAGCGATAGAAATTCCCAAAGATCTTAGCTTAAGTCAGAGGAAAAATTGTGTTGGCCCAACTGCTGTAAACTTCTGGAGGGGAGTGACAACGTCTGTTCCCACCTTCCTCTCCTATTCTCCCTCAGAAAAATCAGGAGGCCACTAGCTATGCTGGGGCAGGGTGACAGAGCAGTAGAACAGGCTGCCCAGGGAGGTTGTGGAGTCTCTGTCTCTGGAGGCCTTCCAAACCCACCTGGATGCCACCCTGTGCCACATGCTCTAGGTGTGCCTGCTTGAGCGGGAAGGTTGGACAAGATGATCTCTAGAGGTCCCTTCCAACCTTGAAKATTCTGTGATTCTGTGAACACAAGCCCATGGCTCTGGAGTGGTAGAGGCATATGTGGTTTCTGGGGGTTTTTGAGGGTCCAAGAGGCTGATACTGCTTACCAGGAGCAGCTCACTAAGTCCAGGCAATAATGAAGTAATTGGGACAACTTGCTCAATTTACAGTGTCATAAAATTTCTTTTAATAATTAGAAGCATTAAATACTGAAGGAAATCTCAATTCTCTGCTCAGTTGCAGAGCAAAGAAATCAAACTGTTTATTAAAAAATAAAGAACATCAGCATCTATAGGATTCATGGAAATGGCTTGAATGGCACTAAAGTGCTTCAACAATGAAAAATACAATATAYCTCATTTTTAGTGCTCAATATATATATTTTTTAAAAAACAAAATTGCCTTCAGTTGTCCTTTACACTTCACTCCATAATAGGGCAATGGGGAGAAGACAAGGAAGACTAATGAAATAATCTGTGCCCTGAGAAAAGCCTTGTAGAGCAGCTGCTGTAGCGTAGTTTTCAGATGAATGCTTTAGGCTATGGACACTATGCAAACACAGCCACAGTGGCAAAACAACAGCGGGCTGAAAAATTATTCTCTGAAACCCAGGGCTGGAAAGGAATGAGTGGATTGCAGGGTGGATTATGCATTCGCATCTGAAATAAACTTATTGAGCAACAGGCCTTCCTGCAGCTTTATTAATAGTGGTGCAGAAGTGGTGGTTCCCTGCTTCACAGCCCCACTGAGTGGGGTAATGAGCTAACATACTGGGCTTTTTATATCTCCAGGATTCATGTTTTTTATCCCTCTGCCTCCTTAGCCAGGAATAAACTCTACCTTGTTATATTTTCACAGGTTTGAACTTGCTCCAAATGACTCACAGAACTAATTAACTCATCATTCTCTTGGCTCTTCTCAGAAACAGGAGTCCTTTTTGATTTTTTTGTTCATTTAAGATTTTCTTTTCCTAATAAGAYACTAAGTAATAGGAATAATCTTGGAAGTTGAGATCAAACTGACTAATAGATATGTCTAGGATAAGAGAATAGGGAAGAGCATTGCAGGAAGGGGCATTACATTAAGCAATGAGCTGTGCTTTAATGGTGCTAATGCTAGAAAAGTGCTAGCTTAAAATAGAGTGTAATAGCACCGTGATAAACTTAGTGTGCCAAAGAGGGTGCCATTCCTRCAAACAAGCCTGGCAGGTGTTTGAACTGCGTGTGTGTGCTAAGGCTGGACACTAGAAAGAGAAAAAATACCAAAGCGGGAAAAGACATAAGTGTACACACAGTTTTTATTAATAATGTGATCTCATCAATGTGATAAAAGACATTCTTTACAAACATCTGATGGCAAGGTGACCTATATCAAAGGTGTCATCCAGATTCACACAGATTTTGGAGAGAATAACCTCCCCACACACAAACCCCAAGATTATGTGAGCACAACCTGCTGACTTTTAGACCTGGACTATGCTGGATGAGTAGTCAAAAAGGGTGGGCCAGGACCTGAAATGTTACTTGGATATTTCGTCTTAATGATGTGATGATACTGTACACTCTCATGCTTTCTGCCACAGACTATCTTTATCTCAGCTCTGCTTAACCTGCCATTTCAATAGATTGTATGACCTGCTCTTTACTGCCTCCAYTTGCTTCACTAGACTGCTTGCTGTAGACAGAACTATGTATATTACTAAGATTTTGAGGCAAATATATAGGGGAAGATGTATTTTTTGAGTTGTAAATAGTTTTCCTAATTAGTCCTTAGTTTTGTTTCATTTCACTGATAGTAAATTTGAAGAAATTTGAGTAAGCTGTGATTGTGTTCTGTAATATCTCTGATGCACGATCTCTGTAGATTCCATGGGATTTCTTCAACAGTTTAGAAATTTTACTGCTCCTTTGCTGCAAACATAGAAACAGAAGGGCCACATGGCGAAAAATACAGTTTATGATTATTTTTGTTGCCCATGGCAGTGTCAATGCTGGGCAAAATAAGATATTAAACAATACATAGCAGCAGCCCATATTCTGCAGCTCCTCCTAATGGCAATCAATTATCTATATAAAGCTCTGGCATTCAAGGCAATCCTTCAATATTTAGCAAATACAGAAATGTAGCAAAGGATATACTTGCTAGTCAGGCAAATATATATTAAGTAACAGTTGGCATCTGCGGAAACCTAGTGACATGAAGTGAAGATAGGGTCACTTTAAAAAAAAATCTATTCAGGTGGAATCAAACTGATCTAGAAAAATGGTTTGTTACTGTAAGTACTGTGTAGAAGACTGCTTGTGGTTACATTGCCAGTAGCCCTTGCCTTCACGGTGCACTTTGAAATACGCTACAGGCATATATAGGTTCCTAAAAGGCACAGCTCTGCATTGGGACTCTAGTGCAAAAGTCATTTAATTCACTTCAGCTTGCAAAAGCATTTCATCATTTTTCAGATAGATGCAAGATAAGTATTATTTGTATTTCACAAACTAATCTCAGGATAATTATATACTTTTTAATTGTTTGTACTGTGGTTAGGGAAAAAAGGGGGAGGGGTTATTGTTTAAATATGAGATTTACCTGAACTCCCAAATATAGTAGTCTATCAGATTTATTAGGATTTACAGAAGAGGCTGGCCAACAGAACACATACTAATGCTTTTAAACGCCTTTTGAAGAGCTGTTATTACTGCTTTGTTGTAGTCAGTGCTTTTGATTATATTATTGCATCCACATTTCTATAATATTTTTTGCTTTATCAAACATTTTCAGACTTGCACTTCCCCTTGTGCCYGTTTCTAAGGCTGGAGGTGAAGGGAGAGTGGATGGGAATCTTTAGGCTTTCAATCTCAACAGAAGTTGAGACCCTCAGCTAGCATTAGCTACTTTAGGGTAGCAAGAGAATGCAAGAGAATGCAATTAGCTACTTTAGGGTAGCAAGAGAATGAAGGGTTGTTTTTGTTTGTTTTTTGTTTGGTTTGTTTGTTTGTTTTTCCAATCATTTCCTATTAGTTAGTCCAACAATATATTAAAATAATTTAAGCAAGTGTTAACATACAGATTTAGAGAAAAGCAAAATATTAGCATATAATTTTTTTTAAATAAGTGAGGGGAAACAGATGCAAAACGAATAGAATATCATGATAGGACATCAGACTATTTCTCTGCCTTTGAATTCACTCATGACCTGAACAGGATGGATTCTCTTCTTTGCAGAACCTTTTCTGACAGCTGCATAGATTTCTTCTGGCTTTTCTCTTTTAATGAGAGGCTTCTTCTCTGGAGCTTTCATTCTCCACATAACAACAGGATGTCGTGGGCCAGTAGGACTCTGAATCTTGATAATCTTTGTGGACGCAATATAGGACATCTTTACTGTCTGCACCACAGCATTCATTAAATTTTTGGCAGCCTGAATTAGCGAAGTGACACTATCTAACTGTAATAAGAAACAGAAGCATTATTCCAGCATACGATAACAGTCTTTAGTCACAATATGGCCAGGAATAAAAGCAGTTAAAAAGTAAGATTAACATACTAAAACCTAATTATTTTTGTTTTCTCCTGCTGTGTTTGGTAATTATATTCATGTTGTTCAGCTACTCATGCTTGAACAAATATACAGAAATACCATGCTGTTGAAATATAAATACCCATGTAGGTTATTACTTTTTTTAACATGAATTTATGATTCTTGTCTGCAGGGTATCACTGCAATTCCTACTTATGGGTAATGAAATCACCTTGAAGAAGAGCTTTGAAAATGGTACCCATAATTTCCTTTCCATCAGCACTCAACAAATTCTCCAGCTGCTCCCATCACGTTCCAGACCTCTTCGCATGTTCCTGAGCAACGCAAGGATGCTACTACCTAGTAAGTATCTAGATGCATTAGGACAGTGACAGGTTGTTTTAATGGTCTTTAAGAGTGGGTGACGCACAGAGATTGAAGTGGCTCCTGTGTCCTGTCAAGACTTTTTGAGCTTTTTCCCAGACTAAAATGGCAGAATGTGTAACAATTGCTTGCTTCACTTATAATTGTATTCAACAGCATAGTGCATTTAGCAAGTGTTAAAACAAAGGCATCTTCTTTTAATATTATTGTACACAAAAGTATATTTAATTCTAATTGAAAATCTACTAACTGGAACAAAAATGAAAGTATTCATTGGAGTGTCAGCTCTGCTGTAGTCCTCTGTAGTGTAACATAAATGAAATGATTATACTACTCTTTTCATACATGTGAGTTTGTAGGATTCATGCTGTGTAGCAGTGGAAGCAGAAAATGCAGTGGACATGCTCACAGTCTTATCTAAACCACCCCAGCCCCTCTGACTTCGGCAGCCTTGATAGAACAAGTAGGGAAAAGGAGAGATTCTCAATGAGAGTCATAGCAGTTCAGCAGGTAAGCCTCAGTTTTAGGATAACGTGTAAGCGTCAAAGAGACGACCTATTTTATGTTTGAGCACACTGTGCTCTTATGTACTGAAAACACATTGTCTACGAATACTTAGAGGAGCATGTGTACTGATACTGAGGAAAGGCTCTACAGTTTGGGTGATCTAAAGATATTAGGATTGCTCTGTAGGAGTTGGAAGACTGTATTTCAAAGCTTGAATGCATTCTTTGGCTGTTGAAGCATTTCTTCCTAGAAAGGTAGTGAAGTCAGTTCTCTTGAGAACTATCAGTTTTGGCAAGAGAATGAGCTTCAGCTATGTCATTCTCCCTTGCTTACTGCATAGTCTTTTTAATTTTTTGGAATTACTGCAATACACAGTTTTGGAAGCAGAACTGTAAGCATACCTTAAGAGTCTCAAGACCATTCATCAGGGGAGAGGAATGCATTATTTTTTGCATACAGGGTGATCATGCAACATTTTATACACACATAATACACACATATATACATATAAGTGCAAACAGGGCAATAGAAATGCATCTAAAAGTCAGCAAAGGGCTGGATTTATTTGCATTTTTGAAAACATGTCTTAACAAGGGGAAAGTTCCTCCAGTTATTAGTAAGTTTGTATCGTCTCTCTAGAAAGCCACATAGTAACTCACCTTTTTACATTTTTTTTTTCCTTCTCTTTAGAAAAATAAAATAATTAGAGTAGCTAAATGCCCAGGGGCTACATAGCTATCTGAAATTAAAATGTATTTCAGGAAAAGTTATTAAATTCAAAATATGGTCTATAAAGTTCATCCTTGCTGCAGCATGTGAAATTTTCAGCAAATATTTCTAGTTTATAAGAGTTGTGTAAACTTTGCATAACAATATTTAGAGACTACAATAAGACTGTTAGAGCCCACTGTTTATAACTTCATTTGTTTATAACTTCAGAGAAACAGACTGCCTAGTTCCCAGGTAGACTCAGAAATTCAGCAGAATTCGTGTGATGCTCTTTAAGTAAAATTCAAAGAACTGACTAGAAGTGTCATGACTGCCTGAGCTGAGTAACCAGTGTTGTAGCCATGAGCTCCTGGTGTAGGAATGTACTCCCATCCATGTTTCAAACTGCTGAGAAGTCTTCATCTGCCAGTTATAGTTGGTTAGACGGAATGAGAGCGAGTGAGACAGTGATAGAGCACAAGAGCAGTCGTTTTGGTATAAATTTTTTCCTTCATTATTGTGCACACTCACACACACAGACTTAATTCGTTGTCCAATGAGGCTGCTGAAAATAAACCTTTCTTTTGACCTCGGAGGGGTTGCTAGGCCCCTGAGCAGCTTACAAAGCCAGAATCCTGACAGCTCTTCAGGCGCTTGTAATAATCTTTACTCTTTTACGAGATATGGGAAACACAGTTATAGGAAACAGGTCCTGCATGCTTCTCAAGTTAAAAGCAGAATACCTGACTACCACAAAGGCTATTTAAATCAGTTGATTTGCTGCATTTCCTGGGGAGGAGGGGGCAGAAATTTCCATTCATTTTACTTTGCTCTAGACATCTCTGAATACGAAATTTAGGAAAATTTACTGTTATCYTTAGGATATCTGTATTATTTGCAGTGGCTTGGAGTCCACGCTTCTGCTCAGTGTTTCAAATGCTTCTCACACTGTTCTTACTTCCATACAGAAAATACAGATCGTGCAAAGGGAAAAAAGTTGCTAACTGCATTCAAAGTTTTGAATAAATTCTAGGATGTACTCTTGGGACTACCACCAGTTGGAGTCAGCCCATACATTTTACTTTATCCTTTTTTTTCTCCCTATCTCTAGAAAGCAGTTTGTTTTATACTTCAATGCCAATAACATTAGTTTGGTRTAAATCTATTGTTTTACTATAAATCTGATGTACTCAAGGACTGTTTTCACTTGGATGCTTTTATCTCAGATATTTAATAGCCTCTTCAGAGTCTCATAACATACCTAGGAAAATGGTGAAATGAAAGTTGGCATAAATGGAAGACTGATAAAATATTCATTGAATGTTTAAGTTCATTTTATTTAGAGACTTGTAGCTGCAGACTCTTCCATCTGTAGCAAGTGGTATAAATAGTCACTAGCAGCACAAGCAAACAAACCCAACAAACAAGAGGCTGCTTCTTGATTTACTCTTCACTTCCTGTGGAGATGCAACACTCCAGCCTGATTGTACACAGATCTGACTGTATCAATCAAGAGAGTAATTTGTGAAGAATTCAAGAAAAGCTTCKCTTGCTTGTCACCTGCCAGTTGCTAGTTAGCAAGTGTTACTATTTATTTTCGCTGTAAGAGGAATGCAAAATGACTACCTAACCCCAACTGCTTCACCTTGTAGTGAAACACAGGCCAGAAGACACAGATTTTCGAAGACTGGCTGTGAGCAGCTCCAGTGTCATCTCTAACACTTGCAGTCTTCTCCTTCAAGGGCTCAGAGTTTAATGTGACCCACCTTTTCCTAACATATTGGCTTAACATATAAACACACTCAGTGGCAAAGCTTTTAGGTGCTGTATGTGTGGCTTGAAAATACACACACACACACACACACACACACACACACACACACACACACACACACGTGGGTGTGTGCACATATATACACATACAATGCTTCTGTGTATATATAAGAATATCTTTATTTTCCAAGAATGAAATGTATTCAATCAGAATTCAAGTGAACGTTTTCACATTTGCCACTGAAGAAACAGTGGGGTTTAGAAAATTCTATTCTTGAATTTTTTTTTCAGTTTATTTATATATTCTATTGTTTCAATTTTTGTAATAGAGTTTCATATCTTGGCAGTAGTGCAAGACTGTTAATAGGCCTCTCTCCTTCCTGTGGTTCACAAATGTAGCAATATAATAATGGTATGTTTAAAGACTTAATATTTAGAATGGCTAGGAGAGGCATGACTATAAGGAAACTCCTAAGTTGAAGTATTTKCTGCTCAGCATATGAAGAGAAAGTACTTGCCCTGTCATATACCAAYAGGAATTGTTTCTATAGCAGTTAAATAGAGAATTTCCTTATTCTCAAAGCATGTAAATAAATCAGTCCCCTGCTCTTGCTGTTGATCCTGATTTATACATGCTGTCTCTGTGACATAAAGAGATGTCAAAGGTGCTTTCCAGAATAAAGCTCTGAGAGATTCCTGCAAAATGATACTTGCAGAGCAAGTAAGTGCCGGTCTAGAACAACAGCTGAGATGCTCAATTGATCTTCTGCGAGCATTAGTTTGTTTTTCTTNTTTTTTTTTTTTTTTTTTTTTTTTTTTTTTTGCTTGCTTGCTTGCTTGTTTGTTTGTTTTGCCAGAAAGCGAAGTTTTATTATTCAAGGAAAGGTCTATAAGCTGGCTGCTTACAATCTCCCAAGTCCCAAGTTCGACCATTTTTTTTCTCCTGCAGGTTAAAACTAAGATCAAATGCATATCAAATACACAACTCTGTATTCAATGTTTGAAGTCAGAATTTTAAAAACCTTTGGAAACAGGTCAACTATGAGAACTGATGTGAAACTGCTTCCCTGCAGTAGCCCAACAGCACATAAGCTCACGCAGGCATCAAGCTCCTTCTGCTTTCACACGYAGGGAAATTCTCACAAAAGGAAAATGCTTTTTAAAAAGGCAAGTGCCCATCACATGCAAGTGTCCTGGTGTGTACAGCGAGGGGGACAAACTGAGACTGTGGGAAAGTAAAGAAACATCACCTGCGAGGGGTAGGAGGACTGGCAGCTGTGTACCCAAAGCATCCCAACTGCCCCACACATGGCCTATTACACCTACACTATGAAAGGGCATGGAAGTTGATTTTAAATATGGACTCTGCCAGGGTATGTTGACAAAGGAGCACTAYGGGGAAGATAAGGACAAAGGCACAGAAGATCCAAATGCAGAGTAGGTAAAACAAGAGGACAATGTGATATCGAGCGTGAATGGCTGTTTCCTTAAATTAAGTCCGATTTCTTGTCAACAGGGAAACAGAAGAACCCTTAAACTGTGACACTCTCGACTACTGCTTCTTATTATATTATATATATAACCTCATATTATATGAGGTTAAATTTGTAATATGATTTTATGCCTACTTTACTTTCCCCTCCATAGCTTTAACCAGCAGAAGATACCTACGTGACCGATGATGTCACTTAGCTCTATTTTGAAAGGACAATTCTATGTTTTCCAGTATGTGATACATAAGATTGCATCCTCTGCTCTTTATCTCTATAATTGCATGTGGTTTTTCTCCTACTTCTAACCATTCTTGGAAGTTAAAAAAAAAAAACAAAAAAAAACAAAAAAAAAACCCCTTAAACAGTCAGTGAGACCTGTTGATTTCAAAGACCTTTATGCACACACAGGTCTTTCTAGGGTGGAAGACAGACAGACATATTATGTCCAGTGGGTTATGGCTGGATTTGTGGTCCATCATCAGCTTTTAGGTCCAGCATTTGCTTCTGTTCTTCTGACCACGTGTGCTTATCACTGTTTATCACTGGGAGACATGGCGGACTTACCAGAGGGTACTGCAAGGAGCAAACAACAGACAAACAAGTGATGACCAAGCATAAAGCAGCCGAACCTTGAGCATGCAGGTACAGGAGTACAGAAGAGAGAAATCACAGAGAAGGAGTAAAGGTAAAAAAGTAATCTCTAAGTATGTTTATTTTCTGTCTAATATACTTCTTCACACACTTTCTTTCTTGCAATAAGTCTTCACTATCTAAAGGAGGGAGATCGTCTCAGTTGATTTTGAGATGCATGATGCATTTAATTGTGAGCAAAGGCATTCCCTCTTTTTCTYAACCATACCTTATATCTCTTTTATGTTTCTCATTCTTTATTAGCATAAACAGAGAAGATCAAGGTTGGGGAAAATATTATTCTATCCCAGATACAGTTGTGAACCCCTAAAAAAGGGAATATTCTTTTGTCTTGTAGGAACTTTACTGAATCTTGAGATTTGCTCACATAAAATCATCAGTAGTGTTGCATACCAATAAAAAGCCTTTGAATAGAAAGGTCAAATTCTAAAGACCCATCCAGACTTYCAAAGTTGGTATTTGCTCCAGCTTTAGCAATTCAGTAATCGTCYACTGTCTATGAGAAGTGAATTTCTCTTCCCCATCCATATAAAATGCTTCTATTTCCAGCTTTAAAATAATATATCCAAACAGTTCATTTAGATATAGATTAGGACTAGCCTTATAAGAAAGCTGGTTTGGTTTGGTTGCATTTTATTTGAAAAGACAGCTGAGCACAGACCTTTCTTTCCCAGCAGCAGCCATTTAGACAAGTGGAAAAATATAAATTGTACAGCTTTTTTGTATAGGCCTAAATTTATCACCTGTATATATATGTGTATTTAATATGTGTATTTTAAAACATGTGTATTTTAAATTTATGTATATCCCAATTGGAACATTTTCCAACATTTTCTTCTTTAACAGAATAAGAACTAAAATGTAGAGCATCTCACCTTGACTCAGCAAAATATTTCCAGCAGTGTCTAGGACTAAGCATGTTCCTAATTTGCGCTGACTTAAACACCTGTTTAACCAWGTTTATGGAACAAGGACTGACTTAAGATTCTATTTAAACAAGTAATTAACTGCCTTCCTAATTTGGGGCTTCTGGATGCAACTCTATTACAGCATAATATATGTCCTCCTCCTCCCTTTCAGCAGGATTATGATACATAACTATCCCTCTAGGTTTCTGAATGAAGTTGATTTTGCTTTTGATTTTTAGAATTACAACTTCTGGACAAAATTACATACTTTCTGCTATAAATTTATGGGTGGCACAATAAAATGAGGAGAAAAAAAAGCAGCAAGTATGCCATCCTTCCAAAATGCCTTTTAGTGAGTCCAGCAATTGGTTACTCAGTAATGAAAACAAGGTAACAGTACAGTTTGTATGTAGCAGTTCATGTGCAGATTTTTGTAGGTCATTTAAATCCGTACCTGACTAAAGCAGAGAAAAAAAAAAATCATGTATAACATGTAATCTGCTAGAAGCTGTATCCTTTAGCTAGTTTTATAAGAAAATAAGGCTTAGCCTTTTGCGACGTGTGTGTGTGTTCATTTGTCAGTTGTTCCCCCCAACACACACACACACACTTCTTAGTTATCTCAGGTTTTCAAATTTCATAAACGGGTAGGAATGTCAAAGATGTTCAATAAATCTTTACCAGATCACAAAATCAGAGAAGAGCCCCAAATCAGTGGTTGTGTTAGGGAAAAGGCAGGAGCACCTCGATGCTGCTTAGTTCCAAGCTCCTGTGGCGCCCAGCGAGGCTGCCCAGTCACTCTTTGCAAGTTCTTAAGCTGTCTGCGCCGGCACTGCTCATCACATGGCAGAACAGCTGTGCTGGCACTGGGGAGCTCTGCAGTAAGTACAAGGTGCTGCCTCCATCCTGCTCAGAAGGAGCATGTTAGGAGCCCAGAAACTGGGGGAGAAAAACTCTGAGGAAGAACTTATGTTCAGGCAAATGAGAGATTTGTTAAGTACTGAAGCATGGACTTGAAGCATGGGTGGTTATGTGGATTTTGTGTTGTGGGACCACAGAGGAATGATGGACAACATGCGGAAGTTGAATTAAAGCGGTGATAGCAGGGGACACGGGCATGCAAAGGGCAGGAAAGTATGAAATCTGGCCTTGCTAATGCACACTGCTCATAGAATTGCATGTGAAAAGAAAGAAGAAATGAATAATGAAGGCAAATTTGATTAATTTATACCACAAATGAAACCAACTGTTCACTGTATAAAGTCATTTGATTTGAAATCATGTCTCTGTAGGTTCCAGAAGTTTAAATACAGTCTCAGAATTCTCCTTCAAATAATAGATAGATTACAAAAATCAATCTCTTTCAAATCTTGTGTCAGCAGTAGAGAGTTCATTTCTGGTTATATTATAAGCCAAATAAAACATACTAATAGCTCTATTGTTAGTTTTTATATATTCAAGTCTATGTGAATTTGACATTATTATAAAGAAGAAAATATTAAACAGTAAGAACATGGGCTGGGAAGCATCTTTTTGTTTCTTTCTGCATTATTTAGTGGATGCTTACATTTTGAAATCATGTGTGTAGTATGGCACAAATAATTAATTATTGAATATGAAGTTGTAAACACTCAGAAAAGGGAGTATTTTGGCTGCATACTCCTGATTAAGGGTGTAGTGTCTTTTCTGTGGTTAACTATACCATCTATAGCTATAAAAGAGATAATGACTTAATGCAAATCCAGAAATCCAAACAAGAATCAAATSACCTTGCTCTTAATTTTCTTAGGTTCTGTAGGGATGCATCCCTCTTGCATCACAGCAGTCAGTCTAGAATATCTTTTGGAGTTTCCTTTAGAACTGGAAGTACAACTCAGGGGATTACACACTCATACACAGTCAGGGGTGCTTTACATATGTAAAAAAAAAGGCACACTATCACAAAAAGACTTACTGTTTTTTACAAGACTATGCCCATACTGAAAGTAACAAAATTACCTTCCAGAGTAACAGTGTAGAATAATAATTTTTGAGAAATAAAAATATGCAAGTAATACGAATTCCTTTTAAGTCACCAACCTTATGCTTTATTGCCTTACATGTCCTGTATAAAGTGAGTATGAAAAGCAGTGGGAAATAAAAGAAAAAAACTCAGGTCTGCACTGGAACATTTCACAAGCACAAGAAATGCACTTGATTTTATAAGGTTTCATTTTGACTAACAGAGGAAGTAAGGTATGCTCTTTTTCTACTTACAGCAGACATGATGAGCTCTCCACCTAGACTCTGGATTTCTGCTTTAACTTGACTGCATATTTTGAGCTGATGGGAGTACAGCTTGATCTGTTCTAGGTAAGCCAACAAGTCATGTTTACATGATTGGTCTGGACACTAAATTAAAAAAAAAAAAAAAAGTTAATAAAACATTTTAGTAATTGCTGTTGAAAATTTCATCTCTGACATCAGGTTTGTATTTCACTAAGGAGTGTACTGATTGCACTAATTGACTAATTGCACACCAGGGTAGCCTAGCTTCTCACTGCAGCTGCATCAGGTTGAATAGCTCACTCCTTTCATAAAGCCCTTAAACAAAGTGGAGAAGCTTAGAATAATCCCAGATTTACATATGCTTACTTTTTCTTGCCTTAGCAATATTTCTAGCCAAATCACTTATTCTGGTATTTGTAATAACTAGTTTTCCTTCAGTTCTTAAGTGGTTATGATTTCTTCTTATGAAGTTATGTACATTAACTATAGTAGCTATGTAGCCAAATGTAAACATAAATGCAGAACAGTATTAATATTTATCCCAAGTTTTCTTTGCCTTAACAATAATGATCTACAGTTTTTGTGCTTCATCCTGAATTTATTCTACTCAATGACAGATCATCAGTATCACTGGGTACCACTTGGCAAGTATGAACGTCTTACAGCAGATTCACTACTATCACTACTTTGTAAGAATAGGTTTTTCCTGAATTAGTTGAAGGGAAATACTGCTCTGTGATGAACAGGCTAGCCATATAAGAACTGGCATGCATCTTTTCCAAAGTTGCTTTTCATTGTCCTGGCAGAATAAAGGGATCTTAACGTGAATGGTGAGTCCCTATTCTGCTATCACAGCTGTAAAACCTGGCTAAGATATAAATAAAAACTAGATTCCTACAGTCTAGTACAGATGTATTTTTAGTTTTTATGTGCTGCATTTATACTAGAACTATGGGTCATATTCTTCAGATAGGAAATTGTGTTCAGCTTTGTATATTAAAAAATAAGGTATGTTTCTACCAGCTACAGTGGGAACAAACATCTCTAATTTTATCCATTTAGACCTTTTGGGCTTATGATATTGTCATCCAGGCGTGGTTGATTTGAAATCCAGGATGTAATATAATAAAACTCAGGAAAAGCATCGATTCTACTCAATTCATTTGTTCATCTAAACTACTGACTTTGCTGAAGATTTTTTTTCTTGTTTGCTGTGAAGGGGGGTGAGGGTTCTGCTTTTCATGACTATGTAATGAAATGTACACATTTGGTTAAGAAACGAACAAGCTCATGTTTTGGACTTAGGAAAAGCAGGTGAGAAATAACTCGAAAATAAGTAAGTAAGTAACAATTGTAAGTGAAAAAATTCTAATTAACTAATATGAATTACATGTCACTACTTAATTTGTATTTTGTTAGATCCACTACAAAAAATGTGTTGTGAGTTCTTGAACAGTTCAGGGGAAGATGCAGAAGAGGTGGTTCTTATCCTCTCTTTATGTAGGTTGTTTCCAAAGAATCAGCATATGACAGAAAAAACATTTTAATATATACCTTTGATAAATTATGCAGTGGTTAAAAACAATGAAAACAACATTCACAGTCCAAGTGAAAAGGTATTTTCATTAGCCAGTGGCAYAAAAGATCAATACAAATAATATGGCAAGAAACTCTAACCATAAAACATACTGTTCTTGCCTTACTTTGACTTAATCATTTTGCTAAAGTAGTCAGTGTCATTTCATCATGGTTAGTACTGTGAATGATTGCACACAGACACACTAAGATGGATAGCTAATAATATTTGATTGTACACAGATTACTATAAGCTTTTACCTAACATGATTCAGATGTTGTTTTAGGCACATCTGGTAATCATTTTAATTCACCAGGTAAAGTCATTTTAAAGGATGCCTTTTAAATTCTACTTTCAAAACAAAGTTTTATATATGGAAAAACAGATTTTATATAGGAACATTATGTGAGTCTACAGAAAGAAATATTTCATACTGATCTCCGAATTCCTATGTTTTATAAGCAGATATTTTATTCTATTGAATCTATAACACAATGAATTAAAAATAAGATGTGCCAACTGTCTTTATATGACTTTTCACATCACAGATTAGACAATGAACTTGAAAGTGTTATTTAAAATTGTTTATTAATAATGTACTTGTGATAAATTTTGATTTAAACAAAATTAATTTTGATGCTGTGCTGTGATTATGCTCACAGTTGTTAAACTCTGAGCTATCTCTATGTGCTGTGAGTATGGAGTGAAACATAAGCAAAACCTGATAATTGTACCCCATTTTGTCACTTTTTTTTAAGCACAGGAAGAAGGAATAATAAAAATTTGAAATGAGGGAGAGTGTATGAAAGAGATTCTCTTGAAGTAGATGATTTATAAGATGCTGCAAATACAAGTTTCATAACGAGAAAAAAACTGTATAAACTGTGTAATGTATGTATGTGGTTCTCAGCCCTGTTTCTCTGAAATTACATGGCATGAAAGCCATTCATTTGAACCTGCTTTATGAACTAGAAAAGGTCAAAGAGATAAAGCAGTSATTCTTCATTTTATAATGTTTATTTCAGCATCTTGCTCAGTTCCAAAGCTGGATCGAGGAAATAGAGCAGGGTTTTGTTTTTGTAATTTGCTTGTAATTTTGAATACTTAAAATGTTGTCATATTTTAYGGTAAAGTCTTGCTAAATGCAAACACGTAGCCATGAGACAACTATTAACAATACAGTGACGTGGTCTGAGTGCGAGATCAGAAGAGACCACAAAAACTTAAGAGTGATTTAAACTACTCTAAGCTAAGACAGCAGCTTTCTCTTCTACAGAGTAAGCTGTGTAAAAGTACCTAAGAAAAGTATGTGCATGAAGAATGCAGGAACATGTATCTTTTAACAATTACTTGAATATTGGTGTGCCAAGGCAAATTTGACTCTGAAGAGCAAATGATACATCCAAATCATTTTTTAGCTGAAATAAAAATTCCGTAGTCTAAAGTGATTAAAAGGTGAAAAGGTGAAATATTTCCCCTAAAAATATGGAAACTGTAATGCCACTTAGAAGGACATTCATGAAACCTAATTAGAATTCATGTTCCTGTCTGGTCACCATCCTGAAAGGTTATGAAACAAATTCAGAGAACAGCTGTAAGCTTGTAAGCTTGCCCAGAAGACTGGAAAGTTTTCTCTCTCCCTTTTTTAGGACCCTAGAAGAGCAGAGTGTAAATAATTTGGCAAAGTAACATTTGAAAATATCAATTATTATTCTTTAAGAACACCTTGGAGATTAAAAACAAAACAAACACTGGAAAAGAGTTGTGTAACTTAAAGGATGATTTGGCAAAAGAAAAGGGCTGTAGTTGTAAGTTAGAAAATTATTACCCATCAGAGAAGTAGGAGGATTTTTTGCATCTTTCCAACAAAAAGAGTAAAGGGAAGATTGTCACTGACTCTGACAGATGATGCTCACAGTGATTGTAGTTGTGTTCACAGAGGAGATACTGGACTTTAGGAATGAAGAAGCTTCATTACATCCTCTGTCCTTAGAAGGGCTTTTCTGTTTGTTTGTTTTTAAATGTGTGTTACTCCTTTGTTTCTATAGTATATAATTTTATATCAAAGATACAAGCATATTCAATAGAATATTTCAGCTGCACACAAAATGCCTCACGGAATAAGTAACACACATCATCTGACTCAAGAATATCAACTATAGTGCAAGCTCTGACCTAAGGTAAATGGAAGTGATTTAATTTGGAAAAAGGTTAATAACTTGAATGATCTCACATTTCCCAGCAGCTAAGAGGGTACACACTGATTATCAGCATGGACAACTTGTGGCTACTTTGTTCCTCACAGTAATTTTTTCATGTTTCTAAGTTATGAGTCACTGTAATAATACAAAAAAGGCAAACTTTTGGAAAGAAGAGTTTCAGCAAAATTGTAAGTCTCTATACTAAGCAGAATAAGTTTATGACACTCAACTTTGCTTTGATACAACCTTTTTTCTCTGATTGATCTGAGACATTTACTATTTTAATTTTTAATTGCTGAAGAAAATATTGAGATCAGCCATTCTCAGCGCTCTTGAAAAGAGCTGTGCTGGAAGAACATCTCACAAGATGAGGCACAGGGACTGCTGGGCATTTTGCCTTTTTCTTCCACAGATCATRCCTGTATCTATTAATAATATGTACCTTTTGTCTTGTTGGGTAGAATTTAGAGAGACAAAAAACTAACAAGTTGTTGCTGTTTCTATATAAAGAATGAAAACATAGTGAGGGAGTGAGGCAGTATGTGAGAGTTTGGAAGACTGACTACTATCAGGGCACCATGGTCCTACAAGGGAGTCACAAAAACTACAAAAGTAACTGCTTTATACAATGGTTGCATTCTGAAATTTCATTTCATTGTGCTATCACCTTAACAAGGAGAATGAGCATGTGGACAGATTTATGTAGATCCTGCCTGGCTTGTTTTTTTAGCTGATCTGTGTATCAGAAATTAGGTCAGACTCTAGAGGCAACTTATTGTCTTTGGACTAATTTGCATAGAGCAGCCCAAAATGAGAGGCATGTAAATAGGAGCCTTCGGTAGCTCTTGCATGTACCTGTTCCTTCTTAGTTCAGATCAAAAATCTGTCTTTAAAATTTCACTTTATATTGATASAAATTTTAAGTCTCATTCATAGTTACCAGGTTTATTTCTCTGAGTACTATTGTCAACAACAGGGTTTGTGTCAACAACAGGGTTTGTATCAACAGAGCAGCCATCTCAGTTGTTGGAGGTCTTATGGGTGGATTAATCTGTGACTTTTTAGTGCATTACTATATAAATAACCTACCTGATTGGCAATCAGTCGTGCTAAGACATCCATTCTTGATCCTGACTCTGAAATCGTTTTTGCTGCATTAATTACATCTGATGTGTTCTTCAGTGGGCCTCTACCCCTTCAAATGAAACAAAGACTTTACTACATTATTCAACACACTTGGTGGTATCTTCAGTTCTGTGCTTTTAAATTTAATACATTTTRTATGTTTGAATTGCTATCTGTTTCACTGCATGCTGTCTTCTATTAATAGGTGCAACTCTGCAGTCTGAATTCCCGGTTTTCCTGATATAGCAGCAGAACAGCAGAGTCAGAAAGCCACCAGCTCAGATTAACTCCTTTTCTCCACATATTAAAGTCACAAAAGTCCATTAAACCTATTTTTCCCCAGCCAGTAGACAGATTCTTACCTGTTTTATATATACTAGTATTTTGTTTGTCAAGCTTTAAGTATGGGGAAAAAACCACTTTGCTTAGTACTCTGTTTCACCAATTTGTAAATCTCACTGTGTGGATTATTTTTGACCTGTATACTTCGTTCTTCTGTCTTTTTATATCTCCATGTAGATACTTGTGGATCTGTTTTGGCTCCTTTCATGAAAGATGTAATGCATCTCTTCCTCACACTTCACTATTTTCAAGCACGAAAGCCTTATCAGGACTACGCGAACAAAACCAAGACACATAATGTTATATTTATGAGCAATTGCTCATAATGCCCCCAGGGTAGCAACAGGTAGTTTCTCGAAAGGTATAAAGCTGGGATAGGCTAGCATTGGTGTTACACAGAGGGTTTTCAAAAACTGCCAAAATGCGAAAGTCTCTTCATCTCCTTATTTTTGCCTCACACCATGAATAACAGTGCATCTGTGCAGCAGTGCCATTCCTGTCTGTGCATTGTCCTAAACTACAGGCATCAGTGTCAGGCGTGCCTTTTTTTTTCTTTGGCTTTTTTTTTTTCTTTACACTGAAAATTTCACTCTGAAGGTTAACTGCAACTTTTGTTCTCCTCTATTAAGCAAAATACAGAGCTAAAGCGAGTTAGCACAGGAGCAGTGCAAAAGTTCAACCTTTTCCTTATGAGTTGAATTGGCAAAATGCAAACTAAACTTCTCACTTCTCCTGATCTGGAGAAGAAGGATAAAATAACTGTGGCTACAAGAGTATTGAAAGTGAAGGCCTGTGCAATAATCTCATCAGCAGTTAAACTCTTTACTACACTGTGGTAGCTCAATGTGAGTTGGCAAGCACTGCTCTTCAAAACAATTTTCATATCAATACATGCTTGCATCAGCCCCTTCTGTTTTGGGGCAGATTCTGCCATCTAGATAATTCACTGCTGAGCTCATGTTGCGATTCTCTTATCTAGGTCATCCCTCTCTTCCCAGCTCCCCTGCGTGCTCACCAGCTTTGCAAAATAAATAAAGCTTTATTATTAAGCATTTAGAATGCTCTATTGYGGGAGAGCCTTATCATTTATCTCTGCTTCTCACTTTTTTCCTCTGTATTTTGCAGTCTGTGAGCAAATAGAGCAATCAATTTTTTCTTAGCTATTATCTTTTTAATACATCATACAGAAAGCAGATTTTCAAAAGTCTTTACCTTCTATCAGCTTAAATTCTTATAGCTATGTCTAAATTCTCTGAATTTCACTTCAACCACTTGTATTGGTCCTTGAAAAAAAATCTGAGTCGTCTGARAATTTGGCCAAACCTAATGAAGCTCATGTGCCACCTCTGTAGGACATGTTGCATGCTACTATCACTAAAAGGGTCATTTCTGGCTGTCAGCCTTAAAAAGCATGGCCTAACCCCAAGGAGCTCTTGCCTCTGAATGTGGACTTACGTAACAGAGAGCTATGAAATGGCAGTGAAGCCAAGCAATGGAGACTGGAGAATGTTTCCTATGTAATGCTATGTATTGTATTTGTATCAAATGTGTCTTAAATCACAGTCATTCAAAATCATCCATATCTGCAAAATTAGAAGACTGGCCAGAAGTAAGTTATTTAGATGTCTTTTCTAATGCATTTTGAGCTGCCTTTTTTTTTTCCTTCCCTTTTTTTTTTTTTTCTCCTAGCCATCAGTCTACACTAGTTATGTTTTCAGCTTTTTCATGTATAATAATGAAAGTCTTTTTATCATTCAGGTTTGCATGGCAAAATGAAATAAATGCTAGGGTATATAATGTAATTAACACATTTTATAGCAGGAGATACTCATCCAAAAATTGTTTTATACATGCACCTCACACCTCTGCTGTATTATTGTGACAGATTTTTATTACTATGGGTATCTGATCATATTGGTAGGTTGCTAAGGGCTCAGTAATTCATTTTCTAAATATCCTAGTTTAAGTTTCTGATTACATGCTAAAATAATTGTTGAAATATTTTTAAAGCATAACTTATTTACCTCTCAATGGCCTCAGGAAAGCACCATTAACTTGCAGCAGTGTTTCAAAATTAATTCTACAGTTCTATCATTACTTGTGTATACTTGTGTGTATATATATGTTTTCTGTATGCATGATTTGGGGCTTTCTTTGGGGTTTTGTTAAATGGAGTATGAAGATCAGCTGAAATGAAAGGAAATGTATTTTGATACAAATAGTATCTCTTGATAGGATATATACCATGCCAAGACTGGAGGCCACCCAACAGGTGACCTATTTGGTAATAGTAATGGTATGGCAAACACAACCCAATATCACAGAGCTGGTATCACACTTTCTAATAGCCATTAATTATCGATGCTCACCACACTGCATACTGAACTTTGTTACTCACATATTCTTTTTCCCAGATTTTCTTCTTGAAAAGCTAAGCTCTCATGAAGATACTGATAAAGCCGACTTTTACGTGTATGGCTAACAGATGAACAGGCAGGATTAGAGTGCAAGCAGATTTTGGGTTCCCTTGATAATTCCCATACTACTAATTTTAGCACCCCTTACTTTCTACTAGACATAGTCCAGGTCACTGACAAGTTGTCATTTCATATGAAACTACCACAGAGGTCAGACTTGCAGGCAAGAGAAGCTCTCGGAAATGTTGTCTGCGAAACCACGTAGGATCTGACTCCTCCAGACACCTCAGGTCAGAAAAAGAACTCTTCACAGCTAAAATACCACCTAATGTCATCCTATTTGGTGCCTTTCAGGAAATATCTGATTAAAAATGATAAATACATTTTTACTTCCAGTACTGGAATTGCTTGGTGGGTATATCAGGAAGAAGCTATTTCAGTCCTAGGAAGTGTCTCCATGGCTGCACTACTTAAGGGACTCCTTGAAAAAAGTAACAGGAGTATTTTAAAATGATAGACAAAAGAGAAAAACAGTATTACGCATAAAGAAAAAGAGCATTTTTAGAATCATCTATATTATGTTTCTTTGTACTTTCTTGCCTCTATTTAATACTTGCTTTCTTGGGAAAAGAAAAAAATCTAAGCTAATAAATTCTCATTTGTGCAGTTGATAATTCACAAGTCATGAAGAGCTGCACAGTTATCTGTGTTGAAGGCATGTCCCTTCGCATTATCAGCCACAAGCATTCAAGTATCAGGCTCCGAAATATCACAAAACTGCAATAACTACTGCAAGACCTGAAATAATAACAACTTTAAAAAGGCCTCTGCTTTCTGGTTTCTAAATATTTGCCAAATGTTCTGTAAAAATTACCACTTTACAGTATGTACACAGGCATACACACTAGTCCACAGTGGTAACACCAACAGCACCCCTTTCTGCTGTTTACAGGAATGTGCCATTGATCTATATATCTATTTCCAGCAACTATTTCTTTCCCTGAACATTTAATACTGATTTTTAGGCACCTACCATTGGCCACCACTTTGCCTTGACACTTAAACTGTCTCTTTCATAAACACTAGCCAGGTCAACAGTGCAACAGCTGTTGCTTATCAGGAATAACTTTCAATTTAATCAGTGTGAAAGTCACATTAAAAATTAACAGTAGTATTTTATGTCAACTTTCTGGTTACAGTTAAATCACTGATCTATCTACACTTCCAGTGAAAGGGAATATAATTGATAACTTCAAAAGTTTCCAGTATTTTATTTCTTGGAAAACCTCCAAAGGTTTAGCCTTCTAATTACAAGCTCTTTTCATTGGTGGCCAGCGATAGGACAAGGGGAAATGAGCATAAGCTGAAACACAGGAAGTTCCATCTCCAGGTGAGGAGGAACTTGTTCACTGTGAGGGTCACAGAGCAGTGGAACAGGCTGCCCAGGGAGGTTGTGGAGTTTCGTTCTCTGCAGGCCTTCCAAACCCGCCTGGAAGGCACCCTGTGCCACATGCTGTAGGTGTGCCTGCTTGAGYGGGAAGGTTGGACTAGATGATCTCTAGAGGTCCCTTCCAACCTTGAATATTCTGTGATTCTGTGATTTCTACTGATTAATTCAAGAAAATCCTGAACATATGGTGTTACTGCCAAAAATATATAGTAGATACATATGCTCCATACAAATAAGCCTACATTTTTTAAGAAAGAAGCAAGAGCGAAGTTCCTTTGCTTTTTTTAATGATTATTTTTGTAGCGGGCATTATTGAACGTTTTAAAAAACAATGGCTCAAGCAACATAAGCAAAACACAGTAAGATATGGAAGTACAAAAGCCCAGCTCATTGCCATCCTCTGTTGGGTGAAGTCAAAAAAGCAGTAGCAGAGACGCTGCTGCGCCCATGGTCCCAGACGCTCTACTTAAGCTCTGGATCAGGACCCCAGCAGTCCCTGTCGGAGCTTCCTGTGTGGCAACCAGTCCCGTGTCTGGATGTACTTCATGGACAGGCCTTGGCTCTATTGTAGAAGTAGAATTTTTGCCTGGTAAGACCTGCTCACATATGCAGTGAGTTTTCCACACTTCTATACTTGTATCTCACAACTTTTTCTCTGATTGTTTCACACTTTTCCAACAYCCTTTTCAAACAATTTTTAACACSTTTTCCATCTTTTTCATCACTTTTCCCCACTTTTATCATTTATTTCACCTATTCTTTTTGGCCTTTTATTCCACACATTTTATACAATATTTTCAAGCCATTTCACACCCTAATCACACCTTCATGACCTCCTATTTCACACATTTGTACGCACTTTGACACACCCCTTTCAACACTCTATTTGAACACCTTTACTGCCTCTTATCTCACATCCTATTAAAGATGGATTCACATCTTCATGCCCTCTTATTACACCCCTCTTTGCATACCATATTTACACATTTAATACCTCTTATTTCACAGCCCATGCACACCTTTCTGGCCTTTTACTTCACACCTTAATCACACCCTATTAATACACTTCTGAGCTCTTATGTCAGACACCCTTTCTGAGCTGCTTATTTCTAACCTCTATCACACCCTATCCATATCATTCTGGCTTCTTATTTCATACTTTCTGGCCTCCTACTTCACACATTTATTACACTGTATATACACATTTATGGACTCTTATTTCAAAACGATATCACACCTTTCTGGACTCTTTTTTCACACATTAGCACAACATATTCACACCTTTCTTTACCCTCCGATTTCACACCCTATTCRCAAATTTCTGGGCTCTTATTTCACAAACTAATCACATCCTACTCACATATTTCTCACACCCGAATCACCTTATTCACACCATATCAGCTRCTGCTAACACCTTTCTGAGCTCGTTTCACACCAAATCACACCCTATTCATACTTTATCACACCCGATGAGCTGTGATTAGGGTGTGAATACGGTGTCATTGGGGTGTGATTGTATGATTGGGGTGTGAAAAGGGTGTGATTGGGGTGTGAATGGGGTGTGAATGGGGTGTGCTAGGGCTGGGAAAGGGGTGTGAATGGGGTGTGATTAGGGTGTGATTGGAGTTTGAATGGGGTGTGATTAACGTGTGATAGGGGTGTGAATATGGTGTGATTGGGGTGTAAATAGGGTGTGATTAAGGTGTGATTGGGGTGTGGATAGGG